AAATGAGATTATGAGTGTAAGGTTCAGAATGAGTCTACCAGCAAGCTAGTCCGTTCTGAACCCTATACAAGAGCAATTCAGGACTTTAAATTAGGCTCTACAATAACAGCAGTGAAAGGATCTATTGTTTCATAAGTAGGCTCAATGACAATAGCAATGTAAGGCTTTTCATTTAGCGAATAGGCACTAGAGTTATGATAGAAGTATGAAGGCCTATTGTTTGATATTTGGTTCTATACTGGCAATAGCAGTTTTAATAGTGAAAATATATAATACTAGTCTAATAAGGGTCTCTGCTAAACACAAAATTTATTAAATCTAACAAATTCTTTCTATACTTTAACTAGTAGATTTTGATTGAGGTGTGGTTAATTTGATCCGAAAATAAAGTATTTTCAATACTGCAGCAGTTGCAAGACTAGCTCTAAAGTCTTTTTAAGGGTTTTTAGATGAATTTGTTAATACTTATTTTACTTTTGATTATACATTCTGATGAAATTATTTTGGGTTTCAAGGTACGAAATAAAATTTGAAGACAAAATTGTTTTTGACCTATTTTACTTAAAAGACAAAATTTTTTGACACTTTTTTTGAAGAGACAAAATTATAAAAAACATAACTACCTAAATTAGATTTGCTCTTGCATATAAAAAATTCTAAATTGCTTTAATAGAAACGAAATAAGATTTTTTTGAAAACCTATTTCGGTAACATGTATAATTTTGATCCTTTCTACTAATATCTGCTATAATATACTTCTTTATTATGTTCTATAACATACTTGGTGGTCATGAATATGTAATTTGTTATAAAATATGAATAGTTTATTTAGAAGTATTTAATGAAATACTTAATAATTTAATATACTATGACTGATAGCAGATTCTCATATATTTTTCCTTCATTAATAAGTATTAGACAAAACGATAATAATAAAAATATTCAAAATATTCAAAATAATAATTTATTTTTTATTTATATTTGTTCTAAATTGATTTTTTTGTATTAGTATTAAATCTTTTTTTTTAAGACTGAAAATATTAGAGTTGATTGACTAATAAATATTTTTAAGTTTTGAACTCATAAGTGATCGTACTAGTCCTGCATGGTATCATGTATTACATAGCTATTTTTAATGTTATAGTATGTTAATATTTAGATCAAGTTTTATTCTAAACAATAATTATCAATTATGAATTGCTATTTAGATCGATTCTTATCAGAAATAATAATTATTGATTTTTATCTAGATCAATTTTTATCATAAGTAATCGATTTCTATCTATATTAATTTTTATCGATATTTATCATATAAACGATAACTATTGATTTTTATTTATATCAATTCTTATTATATATATGATTATTATCGATTTCTAATCTATATCAATTTTTTATGACGGTAGTATTACTAATCGATTACTAACTCTAGATTATAATCAATACTTATCACACTGAAAAATTTACTAATATTGTTAATAATACTTTTTTGATACTTCTAATAAAATAATAAAAACAGAACTGCCAAATTAAAAAAAAACAAAAAAATAAAAATAAACAAAAAATTAAAATTAAAATTTTAAAAAAGTTAAAAAAAATTAAAAAATAAACTATTAT